TCATTTCAGGTCCGCATTTGCCCGTTGATATGGAAGTAGAAATAGCGTCATTTGACACGATATCCGAAGTCAATATGGTATGTCGATATTGCTAAAGCATGTCAATTGTTGTCTCAGCAATACTCACGAAATGCGTTCATTTTAAATAACTTATAAGAGAATTTGCAATTTAAATCTTTCTGAGAGTATTAGGAGATTTTTAGCTACTGCACGAAAACGCATGGCTGGTGTTGCTGATTAGCAATTGTTGCTTTTGTTATTTTTATTGTTTGTTTGTTATTGTTCTTGGTGGTAGTAATGTGTGGAAGGGATGATGATGATGATGATGATGATGATGATGATGATGATGATGATGATGATGATGATGATCATGATGGTATTACTAGTTATGTTTGTACATTACGGTTATATATAACAACTAGTAATAATTAGTATTTGCCACAGTAAATGTAATATACAACATGCGTACACATACGCACCTATACCTTTATAGTAAACGTGAAAACCATATACCGGCATATACCAAATACCCTCCCGGAAAAAACCGCCACGTGTGCCACATTTCACGAAACGGAATTCACTTTGATGTTGCGCCATTCGATCTGCGCCACGTTGCGTTTCATCTATTGCCGCCATTACAGCGTGCGCTTTCATTAACCGCAGCGAAGTGTATAGCGCGCAGGAAACGCGTGTTGCGGTCGTGAGTGAACGAGTTTCAGTTACCGTACGTCAATGGGTCCGCTTGTTGGCGACACCGATGCGCTCGCTTGGGCGGCAACGTTCCCACTTCATGTGTGTCGCGTGAATAATTAACATCGCTGAATGAAGACACCATACACTGGGGCAGCAGCGGCACACATACACGTGTTACACGGCGACGTTCGATTCGCTTCACGCAATTGCGCGCGCGTTGCGATCCACGAGCGAGATGATGACGTCGATTCTTAGACTGACACCGTGAGTCTTTAATCCACGTGCGAGCTTAGCCGCGTGGAGTTAAAAGGAGCCAGTCTATTCTAAGCGCTAACATTATGTCCTGATTGTGTGCCTAATAACGCGTCATGTCATTTCCAATACGCGGAGTGCTTTGCACGGCGAAACGCGAATCATTATCGATGAATGGGGCGATGGTGCAGACGATCGCTTCGCATTGCCGATCGTTTTCCTTACATTTCGCGCCGAGACGAATTCGTGAAGTTATCGCTTGCGTTTGGAGAGAGAACCCCCCGCGTCGCCCGCCAGTATAATGACGGCCATCTTTCGCGGTTATTGTAAGAACCGGAAAGGAACGACCGAACGGAGTCACTGCCAATAAAGGGTAGTGGAAGATGATATCTAGCGTTCGTTGCGAATCGTCACGATGCTGGTCGTATCTCCCTCACCACGATTGATAGAGATTGTTTTAGTTGATTTATGAATTTTTAAGTGTTAACTGAATTTTATCAAATAAGAACCTGTTTCCAATTTGCAGCTAAAACAGGTTCTTATGTCAAGGAGGTCTAAATGGAAAATCGTAGCCTACCAGGTTCTTAATCACTAGGTTCTTATACGCGGGGTTTTGCTGTATTATATGACACCCGTGAATAGAGAAAGAAACCACTGTTTAACATTAACACGTCCTCTGCTTTTCATTACTACATTATAACACACAATACTATGTCACGTTGAAATTAAAATCTAAATATTATCTGAATAAGAAAGCGTAAGATGTAATACTGAGCACTGTATTTTATCGTTGATGTGGTACAATAAGCCAGACTAGCCCAACTATGTCTTCGTGAAAAATTGTAGAATGAATATCGAGCACGAAGTTGTTTTAAAATCATGGGTTCAATATTTTTCTAATAATCACCGAACGGTTAAAAATAGCACTGTATATTATTTTTACTGGAAGCAACAGCCTTACAGCGATAAACGTATCAAACGACGTTATCTACAATCTAAACGACTTCGATCATCCTAAAAATCATTATCATCATCAACATTTTCATCGTCGTCATCTCTTCATCGTAATATTTGCCGCGTCTGTCGGCCGTTATTATGCTAAGTAAGATCATTTAACATTCGTAATTCCAAAAGCCTCTTAACTTCGCGAAATCCCCCGGGGTTTGCACCCGAAGTGGATGAAGGGCCGGAACAACAGTAAAACTAATGTATTATAATAGGTCTCGTAGCGTGTTTAATAATTGCACGTTCCGTGAAGATTAACTAAATTGTGGCCAAATGGAATTCAAATGGACTCAATTGAAACCAATGGCAACGGCAACCTAAGGCATCTAAAAATCGTTATCGGAAAATGGAATAGTCGGTGGAAACCACAAGGCATTTACCACATAGTGGGTATCAAATATATGTCGGACTAACTCGGCGCACTGCACTTTAAGTTCGGCATGAGCATTGAATAAGGCGGTAAGATGTTTTTACCCTGTAGGTGAACTGCAATTAGTAAAGAATCGAATAAATACCGTTCGCTAATGAAGCCTTTATTGGATATCGGACGCAGACTGCGTAACCCGGTATGAAATTAGCCCTCACCACAGCAGATTGCATATTACGTTGACAGACAAAATTTCAAGAGCTGCCTTGTGTGTGAAATATGTAGTATATTTGTCGGTGTTGCAGCGAAGTGAGAACTGCTGCGACGTCGACAAATGTAGGTCGTCCTCATGAGAATGCTCCTTGGCTACACCTGCGCATTCGACCTTCAAGCCGCTACTTCCTCCTATCAGACCTCTCCCGCGAGCTTACTATAGCTGAAGGAGTCGTTGTCGTATATGTACCCGAATATAGTACCCGAAGTGTCGGCGAGTATGTCGCCTACGCCTACTCCCTAACCCTAACCCTAACCCTAACCCTAACCGTAACCCCTACACCCTAACCCTAACCATATCAAATAGTTACCTCGGGCACATATTATACGCCATTATACGACAACGATCCTTCGCGCCTTACTATACCGCAAACTAGCTCTAGCTACACCGGTATAGAGCTAACCGCACACATGCTACCCTGGATAGCTGTTATATACCACTTACTTCTTATCCTCACGGTCTACGCCCACACAGACCCAGCTATACGCATGTAGAAATGCAGACTAGGTGAGCCAAGCACATGTACCTTGATGCCAAGCACAACACGTGTTCAGAAAATAGCCTATAGGTTCCACGGAAATCAGTGTCTGACTGTATATTTTGCTGCGATGCATCGTTCACATAGGCCTACGCTCGGCTTGGTCAATTAAACTGACCGTTCTATCTATTTCCAATACGTCTCAACTCTCTGCACAGGTCCTCTCTGCACAGACGCGTTTGTAAATTAGATCCACGCTCGGTATCCAACGGTAGATGAAGGCAGATTAAAAGAAATCATTCATATAAAGCCATCTGGAATAATCCATATTTGGATACATTTGATAAGACAATTTATGATTGTATTTTTACAGGGGAGCAGTTTTACCGGCTTTATTATGGGCGCGATACAGTAAAAACCCGCGTAAGAACCTGCATTTTCCAAGTTAGCCTAAAAATATTCTTATATAATTGGCGTTTACTAGGAAATTAGGCTATTTAGCTTCTTAAAATAATAGATTCTTATTTTCTTAAGAAAAAAAGATGCTTGTTACTGGTAGAATATTGGTGCGGCCTATTGTTTATATAAGATATGCATATAATTAGGCCTATGTCTAAATGACTGCAATCTAGACAAACCCTATTCTAGGTTATCTTATTTATTTTTACTTTTATACCTAATAAACATCAACAAAACAAAACTAGATTTTTATATATATATATTTACATAATATTAATTTATATTTATATTTACTTATATTTACTTATACAGTATCTATATGTGAAGTGAAATTGCAAGAGATTTGGCTCATTTTCATTGCTTGATAGAGATTGTTTTAGTTGATTTATGAATTTTTAAGTGTTAACTGAATTTTATCAAATAAGAACCTGGTTTCAATTTGCAGCTAAAACAGGTTTCTTATGTCAAGGGGGGCTAAATGGGAAAATCGTAGCCTACCAGGTTCTTAATCACTGGTTCTTATACGCGGGGTTGCCTGTATTATATGACACCCGTGGAATAGAGAAAGTAACCACTGTTTAACATTAACACGTCCTCTGCTTTTTATTTACTACATTATAACACACCAATTCTATAGTCACGTTGGAAATTAAAATCTAA